ACACTTAAAACTTACAGGAAGAGGACAAAGGCAAAGAATCAGTTGTTCTGACCTAGTGGTTATCAGGCACATACTTGACCATCACGTACTAATGATCAGCAGATTGCTCATCCATTGTTCCATTTACAACTTAGATTATAATGTTCAGAACATTCAGATTACAGACATCCAAAGAGTGACACAATCCATGTTGAGTCTCTGTGTTCGCTATATTCTCCACCTAGCCTCCCAGCTACTTCAAAACAATTACCTAACAACTCACAATTAATCATTAGTTTTCCTATAAGTAATGGGGGGAGCCACAGTCTCTAGGTCGTTTGCTGGTCAACACGGAGTCGCTCTGGTTCAGTCAGGCTCTTACACACGTCAGCAAACTTAGAATGATAAGGAACCTTTTTACCTTTGCAGTGGTGGAGGTGCACTGGACTTACTTGATCCTTCTATGAAACAGTTTTTAGAAGGGAATGGAATTCTTGTGCTTTGCCCCCTCTGTTCAGCTTGACTGATTGTGTTCTTGCACTGTTGGAGCTGTGATTTATAATTCACAGTGCCTACTGCTGCTTTAAATACTGAAAAATGTTGTTATTGTGGCAAAGGGAGACATTTTAAAGGTTTGTAAATATAACAACCAAGAAAAAGAGACAGAACCGAAACAAAAACTCACTATTAATGTAAAAAAGGATATAACTGGGCTAATCAGTGCCACTCCTAAATTATGAGGGAAAATGTATGGCAAAAAGCAGAAAGGAAGTGTGAAGAAACTAAACCCTAAGAAATATGGACTCAACCCTAAATCGCTCCTGCTCCAGTGGGAGAGCAAACCCAGAGACACAACAAGGGCCTGTTGTTACAAATCTGAGCTACTGGATAAACTTGGTTTAGTTGCAAACTTAAATTGATATTTTTCTTCATGAATATGCTTGAAATATTTCCTATGCATTATATATTCTTAAATTACAATTATAGGGTTAACTCAATCTTCCTTTCTTTCTGAGAGCACTGACTCAGGGTTACGTGAAAGTCTGCTGGCAGCCAGTCAAATTTCCAGTATAACGGTGTGAGACCAGAGGAAAAACAGTGACAGAGGACACTTTAAAATCCAAGCAGCTGCAGCCAAGTTTGTTATAAAAGATTACAGTAAGCAGAATAGATGAAAATATATAAAGGAGACTATGAGATATCCTATTTATATGACAGATTTTGTATGATAAGAGTTTGCCCTGCTAGAAAGATGAAGAAAGAGATCATGTCAGAACTTGAAAGCTCAAGTTCACTGAGGAAAAGCTGTGCAGGAAGCACTTTATAGAAAGAAATGTGTATGTTTGCTTGTGGGCCGGGGAGAGCTCAGACTCTTCTTCCGACTGCTCCTTGTTGCTAAGGAAGATCAGAGGCTGCGGCCCTAGCTCTCAGCAGTCTCTCCTCCCCAGGCCCTGCTCCCCTTTCTGGCTGACACAGGCCTGGGCGCTCATTTCTACAACTAATACTGGAGATGAGCTTTTCTGCGTGACCAGCAGAGCCACCCAGACCGATCAGTGAGAAAAATAAGACAGAGCTGCCTCCTGGGGCCGTTCCCACCTAATGTGTGACGCTCGTTATTGCCAGCTTCAGGGTGCATTACATATGCTAAATACTGTGCCCCAAATGTACAGGACTTCAAAGGTACAAATGCCTTTTCAAGGCTTATGATTAAATGATCATTATACATGCATTAAATATTTATGGTACAATACTTAAAAAATGCTCAAACATTATATGGTCCACAATATATAAAATACATCTTAGAACAGATGCATTCTTTTTTGGTGACATTTTATTGAGAGATTACAATTTTGGACAAACATTTCTTTACATCATTTAGTATAATAACATCACGTGTGATATGATAACTTGTTATGTTGTCCTTGATATCCAGTGTTCTCTATAAAAATTAATAATTGTTTCCTGTTAGGAGTTTAACTTCTAATACAATCATTATGGAATAAAAAACACACCAGAAGATTTCTCTGAGAGCATGAATTAGTCATCTTTCCAGTGCTGGACCAAATACCCAACACCCACACTGTAGAGACCGAGCATAGATTTTTGGCTCAGGGCTTTTATAAGGCTCCGTCCACCATTAGCTGATGCAGGGACTTGAGGGGCAGGCAGAAGGAGGGCAGAGGAGAGGGCGCACCCCGTGCAGCAGCAGGCAATGGGAAGAGCCAGGGAGAAGAACCCACCTCGCAGCTCCTGCCCCTGCACCCTCCTCCATCCAGGGCCTCCGAGCAGCGCAGTGGGCTCCAGAGCTGCTCAGTGAGGGAACCCACAGTGAGTACAGCACCGAGATCCCGCACCATCACGGTCAGGGGGCTGTGAGGGGCACTTCAGGTCTGAACCACGGTGGAGGTGCTGGTGTGGTCGCAAGGTGTGACTCAGCTGCTCAGAGCGGAACGAGCCCACAGCGCAGGGTCCGCTCTTCCTGTGTGAACGGAGTCAGAAAGCTGTGGTGGGAACTGAAGGGATAACCAAGGTGTTTAACACATCTGTGCGTGTGTGTGTGTGTGTGTGTGTGTGTTTGTGTGTTACAGAGGGGCGCAAGGTTGCTTTTGTGTATCTCAAATATACTTTGATGTTTCTGTGGCCTATGTCCAATTTCTCATAAACATATTTTTAAATAATAAAATTAGTCAACAAACTACACGATCATTATTTCTTTCTTAGTACACAGTTGCCTTGCATAACTCACATTCTCAGTGTGGGTCCCCTACCTGGTGCAGGCAAATATCACAGCTCAATTCCTCCTTCTACCTCCCTTTCCCTCTGCTCTCTCCCCGTCCTCCATCTCTGGGTCCCTTCCCAATTCAGAAGGATCATGGTCACTGTATCCTATTCACGTTCATGCATATTCATTAGTTTTTGGTTCTTTTTTTTTTCAGGCCCACTCTGCACAGAGATCACTGAGGTCCACGCTGCATGACGGCGGCCCTGGAGCTAAGCTGCCAGTGCTGGCTCTGGAGTTGGTGTCAGGAGAACATCAGTCCCAGCAAGTTCAGGCTCAGCGCCCTCCCAGACCCCATGCAACAGGCTGGCTGCTCACCACATGGAGAGCTGACCGCCGTGTCCTCCGCAGCCTGAGGGCCGAGCTGCTCCTCAGCTCAGGGGCTCTGAGCTCGCCCTCCTGCCGTCTTTCACATCTCCTACCCCATCTCTGGGCAGGGCGACCACGACCCTGAAGTGGGGGTGTCCCGAGACCGCTGACTCCACAGTGTCTCTGTCCTACCCAATATGCCCTCCTGCATGTGGCCCTGACTGCACCACTTCTACACCTGGGCCCTGCAGTGAGTTCTCCTCCAAAGCCAGCCTGCCTCACGGGAGGAGCCACCTTCACAGTAGAACTGATGCTGCCCTGCAGATTGTGATGAGTACGGGCTTTCCTGGGGCTGGTGCTGCTGGGCTGTTATCACTAGGGCTGCAGGCCAGTGCAGGCCTTTCTTTGGTTCAGCATGATTGTATGTGGCCAGCCTTTTCCTGGACCAAAGACAGAAGAGATGCTACAAGAATAAAATAAATGACAGCCAGTATCATTTGTGAGCACAGATACAAATATCTGCAACAAAATACCAGCAAACTGAATTCCAGCGGAATGAAAGACAATGTTCACTGTGATCAAGGGAGATTTACCCTTGGCAGACACATTTGGCTCGATTTCTGCAAATCAATGTGTGATACACAAAGTCAGCAATAAAAAGGACAATTCATAGAGAATCTCAAGAGACTCAGAAAGTCATTTCCCACAATTCAGCACCCTTTCGTGATAAATCTCTCAACAGCTTCAGCACGGGAGGAGTGTACCTCAGTGCCAGGAAGACACAGGGAAAGTGTCCAGCAAACGTCCAGTCGACAGTGAAGACCTGGAGAGTTTTCAGAACATCTGGAGAGAGGGATGGAGGAGCACTCTCCCCTTCCAGTCAAGGCAGCCATGGAACCCCAGGAAAGCGACTGAAAATGGAGCAAAAACCATGAGGGAAAGAAAGAAAGATGTGTGATTCCTTATTTCCTGGTGACATGCTCTCGTGGAATATAAGAAAGCGTCCATGAGGACACTCTTATGCATGATCAGCACATTTTTTATAATTCACAGAAAAAGCTTGTATTTTTGTATACTGAAAAAAAATTACATACAACTCCTGTGCATCATAGCATAAAACAGAACATTCATATGTAAGTGCAAACAATGTAGTGTGAGATGTGATTACTGAAAGCAGTGTAATATCAATTATAGATACTGTAGATTACACAAATCTGTTAAAATATATCTGAGTTCCAGGATTAGAAGAATCAGTATTCTTAAGATTCCATCACAACAAAACGATCTACAGATTCAACACAATTATTTTCTAAATGTGTACGTTGCGTTGCATGAAGAAAACACTAAGATTTGTATTTAACGATAAATGTTGCAATTCTTCAAACAATCTTGAAGAAAAGTGACAGAGCTTGAATCATCATATTACTTGACTTTTAGGTCTTCTTCATATTTTGTCATTAAATTACCTTGAGAGAAGCATAGAAGGCAAACACATTGGTGTATAATTTAGAAGAAAGATCTGAGAAATGAACTTTTAATTACAACCAATTGATCCAGTATAAAATGTTCAAAACAGAGGACTGAGCAAGAAAAGAAGTTCTCTTCAGGTAGGATATTGAAACTTTTCATATTCACAACTAGAAGAATGAAACAGCAGTCTTACCTGATATTTTCGAAACATTTTACAAACGTATTCCAGATGAGTAGTTTTCAGGCTACAGTACAAGATGTACAAGATTTGTACAAGATATTTAAGACATAGACTTGGACTCAATCATAAGAACAGACAACAAAAATATACAGACAAGAAAGAGATAATTCACAGGTGTAGATCCTAGTTTAGAAAATAAATCAAATATGTATTAAACAACTTAAAATGAGAATTAAGGTTTTTGTTTTAGTCAAAAAAGCCCTTGAGTTGGAATTCAGATTATCAACAGAACCTGCTTCGCAGGGCAGCATTGATCTCCCTGTTGCGTAGACAGTAGATGATGGGGTTCACGAGTGGGGGCACCATGCTGTAGAACATGGCAGTCAGCAGGTTCTTAAGGGAGGGTTCCTTTGCAGTGGGACCCAGGACAGATACTTCCCCAGAGACAAGAAACAAAAGGAGAATGGCCAGCTGCGGGGTACAGGTGGATATGGCTTTGTTACGGGCTTCCACGAAATGGATGTTAAGAACAGTTGAAAATATTTTAACATATGATACAAACATGAAGGTTAAACACACTAAGACAAGGGAAACACTTACAGCAAGGAGTACATATGCACAAAACTGGACATCTGAAGATGAAATTCTCAATATTTGAGGAATATCACAGAAATACTGCTGGACCACATTGGTCTTGGTGAATGGAAGCCTGAACAGAGCCCCTGTGTGAATAGAAGAAAAGACGAGACCAGAGGCCCAGGAGCCAGCTGCAGCCTGGGAGCACACACTGGGGGTGATGATGAGCCTGTAGTGCAGAGGGTGGCAAATGGCCACATAGCGGTCATAGGACATGACCATCAGGAGGGCAAATTCCACCTCTGCAAAAAGTATATAGAGGAAAATCTGTGCAGCACACTCTGTCAGGGAGATGGTCTTAGAGCCCGTTATGGAATTCACCACAGCTCTGGGAACAACAATGGAGATGCTGCCGAGGTCTAGGAGGGCCACGTTGCTTATAAAGAAGTACATGGGAGAGTGCAGACGTGTGTCCGTCACGATGACAGTGACAGTCAGAAGATTCCCTGTCAGTGCTCCCAGATAAATCACTAAGAACAGCACACCTTGCAGGACCTGGAGCTCCCGGGAGGCTGTGACATCCATGAGGAGGAATTCTGTGAAGACGGTGAGGTTGTCCATGTCTGCCCACCTGCCGTGGTCTCTGCAGACTCAGAGGTTACAGAGAGCAGAGGATGCTACAGGCAGAATGCAGAGAACCCATTAGAACTACAGTGTGGCTTCTAATCAGGAACTCAGGATGAGTAAATGGATAAAGTAAAATAACTTGGAATCCTGTGAATGTGCGTATTTCTATTTTTTTTGCAATGTTCTGATGCACTATTCATTTCAACATTTATCAATGAGATAAATAATCAGTGTAATGAAGGATAAACTATCGTCATTCATAGCTAACTGGATGCAAATCAAGGACCTACTCTTAAGTGAAATAATAGGACACACCGGTGTAAATATGCATCGTTTCTCTGGCGTGAGAAATGAAGTGCAGAGGAAGACTCAAATGTGTAATAGAAGCTGTAAAATGGAAAGAACAGGTTCAGAGCGGAAGGAGTACTCTGAAAGAATAGGGGAAAGGAAAGAAGGGAAAATGAGAAAAGAAGGAAAAAATAGAAACAAAGATTTTGTGACTAGGGAGGGGTGAGAGGTTGGAAGGAGGGCAGGAGATTGGGAAAAAAATAACAACCAAGGTATGTCAAGTAGAGGTCCAGACTTCCTCAGATGAAGGCGATCATAATGTATACCTAATTTGTCTGAATAAACTCAAGAATTAAAAAAGTAGTGAAAATGAAATTTCCAGCACTTTTAAAGTGACTTTTCTAATTCTCCCAGGACACCACTGGCTTCAGTTCTGCACAGCAGCCCCAGACCTGCTCTGTGGGAGCTCCTGTAACCTCCCCCGGTGTAGGAAATCCCTCATCTGCTCCTCATTCTCCAGGTCCTCGGGTGGAGAATCACTGCGATGGGTCCTTCTGTGGCTCACCCGTCCTCGGGTTTCCCTAGAGATCTAGGGCGTGAACCTGAGTTTCCCCTGACAGCGGCTTTGATCTAAAGGACAGCAGGCCGGCCACCCTGCCCAGGCTCTCACTTCGGGGGCTCCTCCAGACCTGCGTGTGAGCCCTTTCTTTCCCTTCGGCACTGTCATCTATGCAAAAGGTATTTCATTTGGGTGCAAAAATGCTGTTTTCCTAAGGGCAGTGTTCAGCCTGCTCTCATCTTGTACTTCTCTGTCTGCCTGTTTTATCTTCAAACAAAGCAAAACACAATCAACTTCAAATTTTCCTCCAAAATGCAACCTTCTATTAGGCATGGATTCTAGCATGTGAGCAGGTGCCAGCATTCTCTCCACATCTGGCCTCTACCTGCTCTTGGAGCTTTTGTGAAAATCTCCTTATTCTACAAACAATGTTTTAAGTTTACTTTATTCACCTCTGCTTTTTGGGGCGGAGAGTCCTGGGAATTGAACTCAGGGCCTCAACCTTGCTAGGCAGGTTCTGTGCTGCTGAGCTACGTCCCTGGCTACAGCTGTACTTGTTTTGAAGCCTTCAAAGTATAAACAATTTGTTTGGAGATGATCTTTTCAGGCCTAAAATCAGTTACATGGAAAGGTATAATCTTGGCATTATTTTATTTTCATTGGTTAATAAAAAGCACTGAGGAGTTATAATATTAAAATTTTAGCACCTCTACTATGAAATATTTTATAGGTGATTCCTTTTTCATTAGAATAATATTTACTATTTGTTTTCTTTTCATGCATAAGAATAACGATTTGATTATAGTTGTATATTCTTATGGCTTTTTAGTATATCACAGAAATATTTTTACAAGGTTGTTTTCTCTGATAACCTTTTTAATTCCATGTGATTCCTTCTGTGAGCCTCATCTCTATAATAAAGAGAAAATCCTGTTGTCAGAGAACGTTACTCTCTAAACAGAAACCAGCTGATGAAGTTGATAGAACTGACGTGGAGTAAGTTGCTAATACAACCACACCTGTGGCTCTTTCTCATTTCCTTCACCGAAGTCACCACCTGCCTCTTGGTCCAGCAAAGAGGGGGCTCCAGGGATTCCTACTCCTCTTTACCTCAGGGCAGTTTGAAATCACTTCACTCACAACACTAGAATGGACAGCAGCATTGTGGTGACTGCTGATTCCTCATAAAATATTAAATGGTGGAAACAAGATAATATAACCAAAATCAGTATTATTATTCCAAAATGTTATAAAATTCAGCTATTATCCAAAATTATGCATAATGATATCCTTACTAGGCCTCTCCACTTTTCTTACTAATTGAAGGACTAGATTTACTCACTTCATTTTGTGTGTGTGTGTGTGGTTTTTTTGAGACAGGGTCTCACTATGTAGTTGAGACTAACCTGGAACTCACTATGTAGCCCAGGTTGGTCTTGAACTCAGAGATCCTCCTGCCTCAGCCTCCCAAGTGCTGGGATTACAAGTGTGAGCCATCACAGCCAGCTTTGTTCACTTCATTTGATTAGCATGAAATGCCCTCTTAGATTTCATCTGCTTGCAGCTCTTAGTCGCCCTTTTCAAACCGCTTGTCCTGAGGCTCAGTCTCAAGGTGATTTCCGGTCAGTGTGGTTTTTCCATTTGACCTGGGCCATCTATGAAACACAGGTCCTTGGAGAGCATTGGAAGCACTAATAGCCTGAAATAAACAGTAGAATCTGAAACAGTCTATGTATGACACAAGCACACAGGGCCTGAAATGGTCACATTTGCTTCAGGTTCTGTCGTACTTCACGAGTACTTGCGTGTGATTTATGCAGTAGTAGTATGGATAGAAATACATAAAGATAGCCAGTAAAACTTACCTGAGCAGGGAACCAGAGAGTCTGAACTCACCAACATGAATGCTGCTTTTGCTCAGTGTGAAGAGCCTTGATGAGATCCTTGCTCCTGCATCCTCCTTCAGAGAGGAAATGCAATCTCACTTCTCAGTGACTCCCAGGGTGGGCTGTGCATGCAGACCTGCTTCTAAAGTACCTGAGATCATCCTGATAGTTCACCAAGGAGGTGGGGGTCACACTTCTGATGAGCTCTGGGGACCTGGTGATCCCATGTTTCCTCCAGCCCCTAATTGGTGAGCATTCTGGGTACACCATTGAGACTAATTAAATTTCTACTAGAATTTAAAGTTCTTTATATGTGTGAGATACTAAATAAAAAGCAATCATCCAATTATGATTTGTGCATTACTCTTGATTCAGTGAATTTCAAGTTCACATCTGATGCTGGTATTCGTTCAGTCACCTTCTAGCAAATTTCTAAAACACTGGTCTGGCAATGTTAGTGTGCTGTAATTTTGTGCCTCCGAGTTTTCAGGATGACCAGTTTCCTCTTTGCATGTTGTCAATCTCCTGTTTTTTTTTCTTTCTTTTCTTTTAATTTTAAATATGAAGTGTGTTATTCCTGAGGCTCTTCCATGGGCTTGGTTTGTCAGAGCCTGGTGCAAAACCTCGCCTGATATCATGATCCCTGGGACTGGTATTTAACACATAGACTTAAGCTTATGTGAATTTGAAGTATACCTGGAAACTCTTTAAGTTTTCAGTGGATTTAATAAAACATTAAACACAGTTCATTTTGAGCCATTTTTTGTGGTGATGTAGTCTAAGATTTCCTGCTTATCCGTGTCCTGACAGGTACCTGCATTGTAACTGCCATGAGTGGAGGCACTCTGGTCACCTTGGAAGGGAGTCCCTGTGCCCACCCCTCTCTCTCCCCTGTCCTCCCACTTTCCTCTCCTCAGCCCAGCACTAGGCCACCAGTAATCCACTGCTTAAATGCTTTTTCTCCTCTAGACTTTGATAGCAGTGAATCACAGAATAGGAGATCTCCGTGGTTTGCCTTATTCAACTGCTACAATTTTTGAAGGGATTCAATGCTGTGGCTTACACCAGAATTTCATTTGTCTTTATAGTCAAAGTAATACAATATGATGCGATCAACACACTCAAAGAACGTTTGAATTTGAAAAGGTCATCACAGGAAAGGTCACACTGGCACAGATGCCCCTCAGAATCTTCCCGTCTTGCAAGGCACCCCCACCTCTTCTCTTCACTTTGCGGCAGCCCTGGAAGTCCTCTTGTGAGAGTGTGCAGTTGTGCTGTCCCACTTGCCTTGATGTCCTGAATTGCCTCAAAACATTTACATTTCACGGTCACTTTGACTTTGGGGCAGATCCCGATGTCACTTGATGTCAGACCTGATGACTGAGGTGGATGAGGACACAGCCTCATGTTTTCATGAGCTGCCTTTCTGTTGGATGGAGCTTGGCAGCAGCACTCAGCAGAGTTTTGATCACTCATAGTGAACTAGCAAAAGAGGACTTCCAGGACTGCGTCAGAGAGTGGAGAAGGCTGGTTTTAGGATGTTCAGGAGGAGGATGCTGGGGGGATTAACAGCAATGTGTCTTTTAACATAGTCAATCTTGAGAATTTGAAACACTCATGATGTGTATATAGCACATTCTGTTCATCTCTTCATGAAGTATTGCACTTTGATTTCTTTCTAACTTTTGTCTACTATGAACAATATTGCTATGAACATTTTACAAGTTTTTGTGTGGACTTGGTCTTCTAATTCTCTTGGGAGTGGAATTGTTCAGCTGAGGTAGAATTCTCAGGTCACAGGTAGCTCTGCCCTTAACCACGTGAGGAACCCCACACTTTCCCCAAGTCGAGGGCAGAGTTGGGGGTCCCAATTCCTCCACATCTTCCCCACCTTTAATCCCTTCCTTTCCTCAGGGTGGGGCTGTTACTTCACCCAGGCTTTCGTTTACACTCTCTCTTGACAAATCCTGTGAAGCATCACTTTATGGACTTTTAAACATTTGTAAATCTTCCTTGGAAACTGTCTGCTTAGATCTTTGGCTGTTTCTTACTGGATGCTTTGAATTTCATTACTGAGTTACAGGAGGGTCCAT